ACAATCATTTTAGGAAACTGTTTAAAACCCTTGTCTTCTCCAAGATACATTATACTGCTGTTTAAACGTATCCCACCTCCGACTTCCTGCTTCCACGATTAACATTCAACATTTGTGACACTAAAGTTATATAAATCTCAGTTACACCAGCTCAACCACACTTCCTCTTACAACACACACACAGAGAACGATGTACCTCCGGGTGTGACAGTCCCCACATCCTGAACAGTGAGCACCGACAGCCGCTCCTCCGTGTCGACCCTGACGACGCCGTAACTCAGGCCCTGCATGGACAGGACGCCCCGACCTGGAGGCTGGCTGCTGTCCTCCACCGGCCTGAACACACAAGCCGACACACACGAACAGCGGTGATCCTCTGACACAGCTCGCATCTGTCCAAACTGACAGACCGCCACACTACTGTGCAAACCCCTCGTGTATTTCAATTTAGCTTCCACGTGTTTCTTTAGACAGCGGCTGCTGTTTCACTCATTCTCGTCGCAGTCCTCCTGCCTGATCGCTCTCTTTCCACGAGTCACTAAACACTGACCTTTGGATTGTTCTAGCATGAAACAGACACCTCAAATGATGAACCAGTGTTGTGTCTACACATCAAAGACAACTTAGCAATTTTAAATTGAATCTTTAGGCTCTGCTACTAGCAGCCTAAACACATCATTTATTCCCATTTCTTCAGGTGAATCTATGAAACTTGTCAGAGATAACGCAGCTCGACAGGCAAAACACGCAGTGATTCCTGGAGAGCTATTAGCCAAAAGTTTGACACATCCATCCAAAATGAAGCTGACTTTCATTAGTAAATGTATATTTCAGATATTTTAAGACTTCTTCGGATGTTAAGCTGGATGCAGGTAGGCTCCTTCTGTTACTTCCTGTGATAAAACCTGTTCAAAGAGAATAAACTGGACTGCTTTATGTAAAGTTTTTCAGCTGTACATAGAGTCTCTGCAGGTGTGTTTCCCCAGGTGCATGCAAATGAGACTGCTGCACATCTCTGCATAATCTGTGACGTGGAGGTTGTGTTTACGTACCTCCTGATGGCCACCGTCAGGGCCTCGGGGGAGCTGGCGCAGGGACAGATGACTTCAGTTCTCAGCCCTTTGGTCTGAAAGACGTTGAGGAAGGCGTCGCAGGACGAGATGGACCCTGACAGACGGAAACAATAACAGAGTGTCAGGACAGCTTCAGCTCAGGTGTCAAGCCACTTTTCCCACAAACTCCTGACACGTGCAGGCGCGTACCAGATCCCTGTATGTGATTAAAAAACACTCAAAAGACTGAAGTTTTAAAATGTTCCAGGCCAGTCACCTTTTTATGACCACGTCTCTGGGCAGGTGCTGGACGTTTCTTTCTATTTTATTAGCACAGGTAACAGCGCACGGCTGGTTTTATATTGTGTTTTTGGGTTTTTTATTTTGTCGTTGGAGGGCAGCTGTATGCAGGGATCAGCTGAAATAATTATTTAGGGCAGGAATATGAGTTCATCCCAGCGCACTCAGGCTAACATGTGTCACCATGTCAGAGCATTTAAAAATCAGTGATGTTGCCAGAAAGCTGTGTGTTTTGTATGGTATAAATAAAGTGTGTATTCAGAACTGTGAAGAGAGATCAACTGAAAAAACAAATCAACACCTTTTTGTGTCATTAACATAACATTTCCCCTCAACTATCACTGCTGCTTTCAATAGTCCACTCTCACTGAAACGTGTCCACAGTGGTTATCGTGCATCCATCTGTGTGCTTCACTACAACTGAAAATGTTTGTCACTGACAGACAAACCTGTGTGATTTCTGAATGTTTATGATATGCTGAGATTAAAGGTGTACTGACACACTTGTGTCTCTCGCTCCTTCACCTTTCCTTCGATCGCGACTTCTCTGTTTAGAGAAGCAGTTAAGCTACATCCCTGCTTTTGTTTTGTCTCCAAATTTCTACATTATTTGTGGGGAATTTCAGGAAGGTTTCATGAGAGATAGAAAAGTTTGAATGTCATGTCTCATAAATGCTTATCACACTGAAATGAGAAACTTTGGGAGAAAGTTTTTTCAAATAAATATCACCAACCAGATCCAGATATCCTGGGGCTGATCCTCTAATGTCAGAGCACACCTGAAGGCACCATGAGACAGCACCTGCTCAGAATAAATGCTATGACCTGAAAATCCTGCCTCGTGCCAAACATGATGCAACATGATGCAAGTTTCAAGTCACTGCAGCTTAACGCAGAAAAACAAGGTTTCTGTGGTCACTGCTAAACCAGTTAAACAGTTACTGAACTTAAAGATACAAACCATCAGTCTGGATGGTGAAAACATCACTTCCTGGTTCCAAGCTGTTGTATTTTTGTCTCATGTTAGGCTGAAAACCTTTTAATGTACCAAGTTTGTGCAGTCGGACACATCCTGCTCTATTCCTGTAAAGTGACCCAGTTTCCTGAAATCCCGAGAGTTTTCTTTTTTTCTCATTTCCCTGACATTCTCTATCTGGAATACACCTCGCTAAACTCCCCCGTTAGTGAAAGAGCTCGGCTGTGAAGGCTGAGCGCGACCTTACAGGGGTTTGATCCGTCGGCCACCAGCAGCATGCGCAGCGAGCTCAGGTTGATGTCCTTCTGGTCTTTGTGGGCCACCAGAGCCCAGTGCATGTCTCTGGACTTCACACAGGCCACCTTGGCTGCAGGAGGAGATGCGCGTGCAGAGAAAAAGAGTGAAATTAGCATTTAATCTTTTTGACAGGCAGGTGAATGGAGGGACTTGACTAAGATGAGTGACAGGTGTGTGTGTGTGTGCCTGACCTTTGTACTGGCAGACTTTCTGGATCCACGACAGAGGGTTGACCTTCATCAGCGAGTAGGGCACGCTGATCACGTGCATCATGTTCATCACACTCTGCACACACACACAGAAGAAGATATTCAGGTGAGGCTTCATGTTAATATCTTTGGAATAAAACTCTTCTGTTTTTTTATGTATTATTTGATCATAAATGATAAATGGGCAGGAGGCTGGGGAGCGTGGGCTGAAAGCCTGAGCTGAAGTCGACCAGGTAAGCTACGAAGATATCTGTGCATTAGGTAAGACAGGTATAATGCCTTATGAGACGCTTCAGTGTTTTCCACACAAAGACCTTACTCGGGCAGCGCGCCAGCTACATCAGTCCCAGCCGAGTGATTCATTTTAGCATTTCTACACTTTTCAAATCTGTCTGCAAGAAAAACCCTCTGCACCCAACTTAGGCTGGTTCTCTTGCTCTTATTTTGAAAGTTCATTCACTGCTAATCATCCTGCTCTGGCCCCTTCACTCTTTGGTTTTCTTTACCAACCGGCTCACTGGCCAGGTTGTTAATGTGCAGGTCATTAATATAATTCAGGCGCTTCCCTGCAGATAAAGGATCCTGTCCCACTGTTGGACTAAGCCCAACTCCACCTGCTTGGACAGAAGCACTAGTTTGGACTTTAGCAGAACAGAACAAGGACAGTGGAGGAGATCCTTTTGCTTTTGGGAAGCAACTGGAACAGAAGAGGCAGAGCGTGAGAGATGGGTGACTGCCAGAGTAAAGCTCGAGGCAGAATTGAGCCCAGGCTGCTGCAGGAAACACTGACAGCACTCAGATGCTACACAGAGCTCAGCAGACCAGCCTCTACGCGTTTAACCTGCGTACTGACACCAGGGGGCGGTGTCGTAAAACCAAGTGTTAAAAGTCATCTTTGATGATCTTTTGCACAAATGCAGAGGGTCACTGATGTCCGGCTACACGTCATTGGCCTTTTTCTTCCTTTCTTCCATAACCCGTCGTTCAGCACAGCTACAGAGCTCCGCAAGTTCAATACATCAATGTAATGGACTTGTCTTTCTGTGAATCCTATTACTTACTTTTAATTTTCCATCCTTCTTTGTTCCCAATTTATTCTTCTGAATTGTTTTTATGTGGATCATAATTTTGCTTTTATTTATCTTGTAATTATTTCTTTTATTGATTGTTTTTCTTGCTTTTTGTGCAGCACTTTATATACGGCATGCTTAATTGTGAGTTTTAAAAATACTGACTTGACTTAATAAAGTGTAAAAATTAAAATGAAAAACACAATTATCATTTATGTATTTAATCAACCCTGAAATATAGTTCTTCTTCCAGATGTCAGAGCAATGAAAACGCTTGTTAATTTCATACTGAGAGATTTATTCATCTTGCAAAGGCACTGTCTTTGGTTTGGACAGGGTGGATGCCAAAGCTCTGATCAATGCTTCATCAAATATGTGTTTATTCTACACAAGAAGGAAAGGACGTTTAACAATGATGCTAGAAGCTGGTTAACTTACACTTAAAGGCTCGTTAATATACTTAAAATGGTAAATGGCCTGTATTTGTACAGCGCTTTACACATTCAGTCATTCACACAAATATCTCATAATAACAACCGTGTTTATAGTCGTGTTCCATATGGTAAATGGTCTGTATTTGTATAGCGCTTTACTTAGTCCCTATAGATCCCAAAGC